GGCGGGGGTGGGCTGGGTAATGTGGGGGGCGGGGTGGGCCTGGTATTTGGAGGGGCGGGGTGGGCTTAGTATTTTGATGGGCCGGGTGGGCCTAGTAATTTGATGGGCCTGGTGGGCCTAGTAATTTGATGGGCCGGGCCGGGCGGGCTTGAATGAGTTTTGGGCCGCATTGGGCCGGCCCGAACCATAAAAAAGTGGCCCGTTTCGAGCCCTGGTCTGTAGTCAACAATAATACCAAAAAGAAAAATCCAACGACAGTTAGCAGGATTTTCCAGTGTTTCTTACTCACATTCGCGCCTGAAGTCGTGCTGGCTCTCTAGTTGGTTATGCTTAGTACAGAATTTGATTCTTCATGAAATGTTCGAAAGTTGGACCCAATACGGTTTTTCTTCTACTGGTACCAATACCGATCTAAATAACCAGACCGTATCAGCCTAGATGGTATACCAGTATGAGTCATTTTTCACTTTTCTGATCCTATAATATTAATATCAACCCCTTAATTAGTCATATCTGTTTCTTAATAATGATTTAAGAGTCCTGTTTCACTATATCATAGCATTTTTCATTATGTATTTTCATGTTTGTTCTCGCTTAACATGTATCGGTGAACTGAAAACTCGATAGTACCACGCATTCCATATTAATTTTGTACACTAATTAAATGTTTGTCAAGCATGGTCATTACAATCGATTTTAAAAACTTAATACGACGCTCTTTACATAAATGATTCCAGGATGATTTGAGATGCAATAATCATTGAAAATGATTCAGCATTCAAGAAAACAGTACTTCAATTCTTCAGATAAAATCATCAGTCAATTTTATGCATGCCAAGAACTATTCATAAAAACTTGATAAGAGATCAAACTTATTGAAGAAAATGAATTTTATTCAATCATTGTCGGAGAAGAAGATTAAAAACAAAAGCAATAAACATCATGATCACAAGTTTTTCGTTCATTGCATACGATATTTTCCTATGAAATCTAGAAAATCACTTACAATTAGAAAGAAAATATCGAGAATAACTGTTATCATTTTAATATACAAGTCCATCGAAAGTTTAATGAAAAGTCATCAGCATCATGAATAATTCACACGATAGCATGGGCTTTGCTTATCAAAGCCTCATCAAGTTGTTTTTTTTTTCAATTTCTTGATTCATCCGAAGAACTTCTGGATAATAATCAAGATGCATAAGATTATGTGTTGTCTTGAATGTTCGAATTCTACATGTACACCATTATGTATGATCTATGCAGTTCATGATAAAACGATAATCAATACGTTCGTCTACTCACTAGTAATAAGTTTAATGGTATTGTCGCTATTGGAGAATATAGAATGTCACATTTATCATCGTTCTACCGACGAACCTATTTATTTTATTCTCTAGTAATGAAACTTTACTATAACCCCTTGCTAAGTATGAAATTAATTTTTTTTATTTTATTAAATGTAAGGACGAATTTTAAAACAACATATCATGATTCAGAAGGAACAGAATCTGTTACCGTAACAGTCTCATCATCGTACAAAATGATCTTCATATTCGGTCGGAATCCACAATTCTCGTCAACATATCCAAGTTGATTGCTCACTACTTTCGTAGAATTTACAGTCAGATCAGTCGATCGATGTGTATGTCCATATACCCACAAACGAACAGGATCGACACAGTCTGCATCATGATCATTGACGAATGCATCACCAATACCAGTCTCCTCATCTTCTACTGAATTAGTGTCACGACGAGACGGAGCATGATGAGTTATAACAACCACATGTTCTCGATTCTCTCGCGCTTTTTGGATCTCTTGCAATAACCAAGCATGTTGTTCAGCATGCCACTTGTTTGTATCATCCACTGTAATTCGACGCGGCTTCTTGCTTTTACTGTCTCCGTTCGTCTCTTCAGCTGTGGTCCAAATAAGTCTATAATCATTAAGACATCGACCAATTTTCGAAGCAGTTTCTTGAGGAACATGAGACCAAAGTGTAGTACCGAGTATACGCACATTATTCGGAAGAAGATAGCTTTTGTTTTGTAAAAAGTGAATACGAGGATTCAGATTGTCGAGTTCTTGAAGCTGTTTAAGACGATCTTCATATATTCCTCCGTAGAAACTATGATTTCCTGCAACGTAAAAGATATGTTCGAATCTTTGGCATTGAGTGAGTAAGAATGTTTGTAGAGATGGTACAACTGGACTTCCAATGTCTCCGGCGAGTATAAGAATTGGTGCAACAACTGGAAACTCTGGAATGATTACATTGTTGAACTCCAAATGCAGATCACTCATAAGCATTGTTTGAAATATGGCTTTGGCCTCAGATGCGGAAGTTTTGCTGGTTGTTTCGTTAGTCATGTCGAGCTGTTTGAGTTCTGAAGAAGAAAAACAAAAAGAAATTTTTATGATTTTTATACATTTTTACACAGTATAATCAGAACAATAAACGTTGAGTGTGTTATAAATTGTATATATAACTCTATGTAATCACAATCATGCAAAAATCAACGATTTTATTGTGATTTATTAGGATAATTAATCGTGAGACTATATTGCAATTAAATCACTAAGAAGAATGATTTTTCACGCGATATTTACGATGCTTAGTTCTAGGACTACGACTGTACATCAATGGTATATATGACAACTTTTTATCATCGTACACATAAAAGTTTCTCAAAAATGAGAAGAAATATGATTTTATTCTTCTGCATATACTGTAAAAAAAAATAAAAAGCAATCGTGTCTTTTTATATAATAATACTGATTGTTTATTTTGGCCTTGAGATCGATCTAAATAATAAATAAGAAAACGTATAAATAATATTTATCGTTGAAATTTCTTTGCAAAAACGCCGATTAATCTCAATCTAGATGAATATCTGAAAAAGCATTCGTCAATCATGACTAATTGTTAGTTGTTTCGATTATTATGATTAATCATCAAATCTGCACCGATTTTCACAATATATGAAGCAACATACTAGCAAAATAAATGCACACGTGCAACAAAAGAGAAAAAATAATACGAAACGATCATGGCGATAAAAACATGTCTAAATAAATATACAATAAAGTGCGCAAATACAAAAAGGAAGTGCGAATTTCATTGATTACTAACAAATATTTGATTTTGATCGATTTGAAAATCATATATTTCTCTGATTCTTCATTGAATCTCTGATTTCAATCAATTATAGTTAAGGGTTATTCGATAAAAAAAAACGATTATTGAAATACATGATAAAAATATATAGCAATTTAATACGTAACGATTTCGTCATTGTGTTAAGAGCTACATTGCAGCTGATTTCAGGCATGATAATGCGTTAAAAATTAATTCAATATACAATAATCAATTACAAACGACCTCACATTTAAGAATTATTTATTTCATATGAAATCGATTTTAATCTAATTGCAATGGGAGAGAAAATGTTTGAAATATAAGTTTTTGAAAAACAAATTCTGCATAGGATCTTGTTCATAATTTCGATATTTAATCGATGTGTAAAATGAAGCTGAAACTAAATTCAACAACATTTTATAATGAATCAAACAAGAATCATTTGATCATTAATAATTAAATAAGATTCGAACTTTTTCGTTGTTGATTCTATTTTAGACGATATCTGAAATACGTCGGAGAAAAAAGAAACAGAAAAAAAAGTTTTCTTTTAATAATGATTGATATTCGATTTTGTCAATATTTAAAAATAGATCATTGTGAAGTTAGCCAAACTCAATAAATGATATTCAAAAGTGCATTTATTTATGAATTTTTCAGTATTCACAAAATATATATAACTCAAATTAATAAATATTTAAAAACTATTTGACGATTCCATGTCTGTGGGACGACCAGAAGAAGAATAGTTCATGTTTCTTGCTATATTATTTCTACACTCCTTAACAATCATATTTCACTAAAAACAAATTGTTTTCCAATACGAAAGACAAAGATCAATCTCTTATGTTATCTACCTCCATCATCGTGTTATGTACAATAATTCGATGAAAAAAAAAATTAGACTCACGTTTCATAAGCAATAAGCGAACATGGCTATATTCGACTGTTCAAGCATAAAAGTGAAGGAAATTACCAAATTACTACAATATCGTCATGTTACAATGACTTTCGTAATTTCACCTGCGTCATCATAAACAAGAGTCATACGCTAAAATAGTAGCACATCGCGTATCATAAATATTCATTCATAAAAGTAAAATTCAAATAGTACGACAATACGTATTTTATTCGACTTCGTTCTCATCATTCAAAAGCAGAACTTCTATGTTCATTCTTTCTTTTCGCTTCGTGAAGAACAGTACATATAATCGGTATTTACTGACTCACTAGTCAACAACATGATCTGGATGATATTAATTCGTATTTAGTAGAACTTATGATAATAACAGGAAAATTTAACGCTATAGTGAAGAAATGAAATTGCTCATTAACACATAGAAGAGAAGCTAACGTGAAAGAATGGATACAAGAGAACAATCTCTATTACATACCATCGACTTCCCACACATCAAAACGCTTCCTATGTAATATAGATTTATCATTTTCGAATATTGCTGCAATTTCAAGTGAAACATTCCATTTCGGTACTAGTAATCACTGGCCGATGGTACTCTTATGTGAGAATATTTCGTTTAACACCAAAAACATTTTTCTCCATCACAAATTGGAAGACATTTGAAGCTATAATAATGTTACTTCAAACATTCTGGACGGAAGAATAAAAGAAAAATAGTGCAGATGAGTGGTACAAATTGTATATTTGCTCTATTGCATCTGTAAGAAAGAGAGTAACACAGTGAAAAAAAAACGAGAGAAATATCGACCATTGTTACTAAAGAATATTATCGAGAAATTAAAAGAAATAAGAAAAGTGAGAAATAAATATTATCATTTGAGAGAAAAAGGAATTCAATGTGAAGTAACAAAATATTTTTTTACGAGTTTTAACAAGGGAATCGAGAGTTGCTGTTAGAAAATGCAAAACTATCCGATGGAACGATTTCTTATCGGACATTCAAGTAACATACGACAATACAGATAAAGTATTCTGGACTTACCTATCTCACATTTATAAATCACATTCATTATCCTTCTACAAATTGTCTAACGGAAGTACACTGCTGTCAACACAAGAAGATATTACAGATGAACTAAGTCAGTATTATAGAGAACAATCTCGTTCATCCTCAATAGATCACTCCGATGTTCATGATGTCACAATAGAAAGCAAATATTACGAATTGATGAATAATCTAGTGACTTTAGAGGAGCAAATGGAAGAAACTGGTGCTGCTGAAATTAGTAGATTAATAAAATCATTGAAACCGAAAAAGTCATCAGGATTTGACTTAGTGTCAAATTTCATGATTAAAAAACTCTCTTCCAGTTATATTGACTGCTTGGTAAAATGTTTTAATGTATTGTTGAGTAAATGTCGCTTTTCTAGTGAATGAAAACTGACAAAGATAATTACCCTTAGTAAGTTGAAATCAGAAATTCCACAATGTGATCAAGTCAGACCAATATTCTTATTAGCTACACATTCAAAACTTTTTGAAAAAATTCCCCTTCAAAAAATTAGGCAATTGATCGAAAGTAATCAGTTTAGTGCCCCTCAAGAACAATCTGCATTCCGTTCTAACTGTCTTTCTTCCACTAGAGTACTATCGATTTATCAAGAAGTGAAGAACAATATGGCTGTTAACCTGCCAATACTTCCTATGTATGTCGACTGTCAAAAGGCCTATGACCGGGTATGGCATGTCGCTCTTTTGTTCAAACTATGGATATTAGGCATGCCACTAAACCTACTGAAAATGATAGAAAACTGGTTAAAAGATAGGAAAGTCTATGTGACGTTTGATGAGAAAACATCGAATATTTTCGATATAAATATAGGACTTCCACAGGGAAATAGTCTTAGTTCGTACTTATTCATTGTTTTTCACTGTGATCTAATAAGCTGTCTGAAAGGTCATTCGGATCATCTTTTTGCTGATGATCTAAACGTACTGCTAAAAATCGTCTATTATGAACAAGTTAGCGCCTATGATTCGGTATATCTGGAAATGAAAGGCTCCCGAATTTGTAATCTATTATATATGTACTCAAAAAAGTGAAAGCAACCTATAAATATATATCTAAAACCATCTCCCAGTTATTTCATACACAAATAAGAAGATCTAAACTGAACATAAATATGAACGGAGAAAATATTGAACTGATTAACAGATTATTCCTGATACCTACAGTGGACAAATGTGAAGGAAATAAATAGAGATCTCTAGCAAAACCAATATGATTAAAATCCGGACGAAATATGTTCTTGAAAGTGCTTCATCGATGTTTCTTTGTCTATACTTTCTCACATTTCGCTTGGTTATTACAGTTTTATCCCTGCTTTCAGAGAGTCAACAACAGACATTGCATCAAAAGTATCTCTAGATTTTTATGTTAAAACATAGGTTCAAAGGAGATTGAGAACCCTACAAAGAATATCTTCGCTTACGACGAGTTTCACAAAAGAAAAGACGATCACCTTGGTCATTTTTTTCTGTTAAACAATTGAGAGATCGACACGAGACATAGCCTTCAAAGTGGTTATTGTTTGTTGAAACGAAATAAAAAGAATACAACGTAATACATGCATCTTTCTTCTTTCCCTTTCTTGCTTTTTTTTCTTCTTTTCACACTTGCTCTCTTTTTCCTTCTGTTCACTGACTTGCTGCTTTTTTTCCTTTTTCTTTTTCGTTCTTGTTCTTCTATTATTCCAAGATACGTATGGTACTCCTTTTAATTACTCCCTTAATAATTACCCTTATAAACGTATATAAATAATTGTCTAAACTATGTCAGTACTGAAATTTGTATGTTTTGCATAAATAATGTCGTTTTCAGCTTGAATATTTTTATCTCTTGTCAATTATTATCTATCATCATGTAAACACTTCCAAGTATAACATTATCAAGCAAAATAAAAAAGAACTTTTTGTGTTATAATTCTACTTTCTATTGTAAATACTAATGTAACTAAAATATATTTCATGTTTGGAAAAGTTTACAGTTAATAACTTATTTTATTACAGTCTACCAATAATCGTCGGTAAATGCTTTAATTTCAAAGTTCATCTGTTAAGAGCAAAAGCAACCAATGAAATCTATCCTTGTATCCTTTGATATGACAATTGTCAATAGAGCTTATTATTGCAAAGAATACGAATGGATATGTGCCATTTTATTCTTTCTGTCAGATACTATCTATGAAATTAGCATCCTGGAGTGATATACAACTCTTCAATAATTAGCAAATATCTGTCGACCAGATGGC